GGCTCCAGGAGAAATAGCTGTCATAGCACATTTTATTTGCAGTTTAATAATGCCAGTTATCTATTGATTGATTACATGCCATTTTTAAATTTTAAAAACTTCATCTTGGGTCATTTATGCCTATAAATAACTGGTACTGCTAAAGTGTTTTATTTTAGGTTTTAGATATCAAATACAGAAGAAGCCAAGATTGAATGTGTTCTTGTGATTGAAACTTTGATGTCACTGATAAAATATCTCCAGATCAGGCCTTTTAAGGGACCTAAGCAGAGTAAGAATATGTCTGATTGGAAATACATAGTTTTCCTTGGCTAATTTGACCAAGGGCTCTAGAAAGTATATGGAAGGTGTATGCCAGCCTTACTCTTGCTTTTTAGTTTCCTGTTTAGCAAAAAATTGTTTCTTTTGCTGTAGAGGCAATAGAACTAAATCTATAGTGTTATGCACGTTACTTGTAAAGTCTTATGTCAGGACCAGATGGTGGCTTATATTTTTTCCACCTCCCAAATTCCCTTTATTCTACTTTAGTCCCTTCATTTTTAGAGATGAGGAAACAGATTGCTTTGTTCAAAGACAGCTAGAATTAGAACACAGGCTAATACTTGCTAGCCATGCGATACACTAATGTCAGCCAAATATGGGCATTTACACTTTCAGATGTTTGCCATATCTGTGCACTTACTAATGCTATTTAATACAATTTTAATTGACTCCTTTAAATAAATAAACTTACTTTTAAAGAAAATTTTTTGCTGATATAAATGGAAAACCATCATATCCTTTAAATAGTAACTCTAAATAGGAATTCAAATCAAAACAAAGCAATGTTATTAAAATTTAATTTAATTTAAAATTAATTTACATTTAATTACTTGTTATTAAATTTTTAATTCTTGCTGTTCTTGGTCAGAAATGTGTCAAAGCATTGTTTTCATGTTTGTTGGCAGTACCTTAATTGTCTAAACAGAAAAGCACAGCTAATGCCTCTAGTTAAGCTTCTGTATAACATTTTTTAATGAAATGCTTCTTAGAAGGGAAGTATATGTTCATATACTAAAGTATGATTTCATGTATATCAGAAGATCTTATTATATGAAACCAAAATTATTTCATTGTCCTTGAAACTTGTTTTTACATATAAAGTTTTAGTTAGCATAGCATAAGTTTATTTTTCTAAAGGAATTTGATTGCCTCACAACTCAAATGTATCACAATTATGGTGAAATAGGAATATATTGATCTCTGTAACCTTTTAAATACTGTAATGAATTAAAATCTTCAGCAAAAGCGAATATATCTAGAGACGAGAGGTGTTTTTAGTGTATTTGAATGATGAAAATGTTTTTCTTAAAATATTTCTGAAGCATTTTTTGAAATAATTTATTTTTCTGAATTTACTGATGATAGAAGTTGTGTGTTAGTGTGAATGACTATTCTAAATGTGTATGCCACTTCCAAGGGATTACCAGGGGTCAAAATGACTTCTTTTATTCATTGACTTTTCCTTTGACATGTTTCTATTCATTGGGCTACATACATTTTGTGTTGCCTTCTCACCAAAAGTGCCACTGCACAGGTTGTATTTCACTATACTGTAGAAAAAAACAAGTAGAAATTTTTCATCATGAGATTCCTATGAAACCTGTTGGTGGAGGTATAAAACAAGGAAACTTTTATGGTCTAGCTATGAAGAGTTTTGCTGTGAAACCTTTGTAACAGGTCTATCAGGAACTAGGGAGAGAAATAAATACAGAAAATACTTGATCCAATTAAACTGCAGATGAAATAGACATGATAATATTTTGGGGATTATTTGTGATTTTTCTGACTTATCAGAAGTGTTAGTTTTCTGTTTATCATACTTGTGTCAAATATAAGTATATATATATATATATATATATATATACACACACACACACACACACACACACACACACAATTTTTTTTTTTTTTTTTTTGAGACAGAGTCTTCCTCTGTCATCCAGGCTGGAGTGCAGTGGCATGATCTTGGTTCACTGCAACCTCCGCCTCCCAGGTTCAAGTGATCCTCCTGCCTCAGCTTTCCAAATAGCTGGACTACAGATGCGCACCACCACACCCTGCTAATTTTTGTGTTTTTAGTAGAGATAGGGTTTCACCATGTTGGCCAGGCTGGTCTTGAACTCCTGACCTCAAGTGATCTTTCTACCTTGGCCTCCCAAAGTGCTGGGATTATAAGCATGAGTCACTGCACCCGGCCAAATTTATATTTTTTAATTAAACTTTTTACTTTAAGATAATTGTAGACTCACATGCAATCGTAAGAAATAATAGAGATTCCTCATACCCTTTACCCAGCTTCCACCAAGTAACATCTTGCAAAACTATAGTAAAATATCACAACCAGAATATTGATAATGATAAAGATACAGAATATTTTCATCGCCCCCCTATTGCCCTTTTGTAGCCACTCTTACATTTCCTCCTATTCTCACCCCATCCCAAACCCATGGCACCCACTAATCTGTTTTCCATTCCTATAATTTTGTCATTTCAAGAATGTTACATAAATGGAATCATTCATGTAACCTTTTGAAACTAGTTTTACTTAACATAATTCTCTGGAGATTTATCTGTGTTTTTGCATTTATCAATAGTTTGTTTCTTTTTATTGCTGAGTGCTATTCCATGGTAAGGATGTACAGTTTAATCATTCATTCACTAAGAAGATCTGTGTTGTTTCCAGTTTGGGTTATTACAAATAAAGCTGGCATGAACATTTATGTACAGGTTTTTGGATAGATATGTCTTTCTCTGAGATAAATGCTCAGGAGTACAATATAATTTTCTGAACGATTTTCTTTACATACATTGAGAACCACATCTAACTAACTGTATTATAGTTTTCACTTTGACCATCAGATAAAATTTAGAAAATTCAAGAGAAGGAAGTTTTATTGTATTTATTCGTATTTTTGCTACCATGTTTTTATATCTTCTCTGATATTTTAAGGTTATTTTATTTATTTTCTGTTAAGTTAATTTCCTCTAGCTATTCTTTTATAGTGGGTCTGCTGGTAACAAATACTTTTAATTTTTCCTCGTCTGAGAATGTCTTGACTTCCCTTCCATTTTTGTCAGAACCTGAAAAATATTATGCCACTGTCTTCTGGGTTCTATGGTTTCTGAAGAGAAATCCACTGTCAATCTAATTATTTTTCTCTTATCAATAGAGTCAATGTTCTTTCTTCCAGGATGCTTTTTTCTCCCCCTTGAGACAGAGTCTTACTCTGTCACCCAGTGGCACGATCTTGGCTCACTGCAACCTCCACCTCCCAGGTTCAAGCAGTTACTTCCGCTTTAGCCTCCCAAGTAGCTGGGCAGGGCACACCACCACGCCCAGCTAATTTTTGTATTTTTAGTAAAGACAGGGTTTCACCATGTTGGCAAGGCTGGTCTTGAACTCCTAACCTCAAGTGATCCACCTGCCTCAGCCTCCCAGAGTGCTGGGATTACAGGTGTGAGCCACCATGCCCAGCCTGTTTGAAGACTTTTTCAGCTTCACTCTTTCTTCTCTCTTTTTGGGTTCCAGTGACACACATGTTAGGTCTTTTCCTATAGTGTCACCAGTCCATAGGGCTCTTTTGTTTCATTTTTTTTTTCCTATTTTCTTTCTATTGTTCAGATCAAGTAATTTCCACTGTTCTATCTTCCAGTTCATTGGAAGATAGAACAGTGGAAATTATGTCCCCTCCATTCTGCTGTGGAGCCTCTCCAGTGAACATTTTATTTTGGTTAATGTGTTTTTGCGTTCTACAATTTCTGTTTGTTTCTTCTTTATATCCTCTGTTTCTTTGCCAAGACTTTCTATTTTTTTCACTTATCCCAAGCATATTTTGTAATTGCTCATTGAAGCGTTTTTATCATAGCTGCTTTTAAATCTTTGTCAGGTAATTCTGTCATCTAAGTTTTGGCATCTGTTGATTATCTTTTATATTGTTTTAATTCTTGTTCTTGCTAGGATGACTGGTTATCTATTAAAACTAGATATTTTCACATTATGTTCCTAGACTCTGGATATTATCTAAACCTTCTGTTTCTACTGGGTTTTCTTGATACCACTTTGGCAAGGTAATAAGTGGTGCCTCCTCATTATTGCCGGGTGGATGTAGAAGTCAAGGGTCCCTACTCTGCCTCTACTGACACCTGAGGAAGAGGATCCTTCTTGTTATTGCTAGGTGAGGGGTGGAAGTCTAGGTTCCCCACATAGTATGCACTGACACCACTGGGGCAGGTGTGGGGGCATGCCTGGACATGAGGGCGAAAGTCTTGGCTCCCTACTTGGCCTACTTTGACATTGCCCCAGTAGGGCATTGGAGATCCTCACTATGCTTTATAATGTGGAAGTCAAGGCTCCTCACTTTGCTCTTGGTGGGGATGGGGTGGGGTGAAAAGTTTTTTCTGGGTTTGGCTGGAGTGGAACAGTTGCTGTCAAAAGCTTTCCATCTTGCTAGGCTGTCCCTTTTTTGTTTCTTTGCCTAGAGAGAGCAAGCTTTTGTTGTGGCTCTTTTTGTCTGTGCCAGTTGGCATCGCCAGGTTGCTACCTTCTTTAGCTCCAAGTCTGGGATAGATTAGGCAAAAAGAAAACCCAGAGAATTTATACCACCGTGTCATATTCCATGGGTCCTAAGGTCCCTTACTTAGTCTGCCTTCTCCACTTTTCAGTCTTCTTATGTTTTGTATATAATGTCTAGGGTTTTTAGTTATACTTGGCAGAAACAAAAGGGAAAAGTGTTATCTGTTCTATCCTTCTATAAGTGGAAGCCTTCAAATTTACATTTTTGACCCATTTAAACAGTTTTGTCAAATATATAATCATTATTGGGCAAAATGTCCATACAATGTATATACCATGTGATGCTTTGCATAATATTGTGTTCAAGAGGACTGCTAGAAAATAACATCTTTATTTAAACTGAAATAAACTGTTCACATTATTAATGAAAACTTTTTCCCTCTAGGAAATAATGCAAAAGGTGTCCCAAAGCTCTTGACCAGTGAACAAAGATTTGAGAAAGACAGCCAAGCTCATGTTTTCTCCTGATCAAGAAAATCATCCATCTAAAGCACCAGTAAAATATGGGGAACTCATTGTCTTAGGGTAAGGTTTCTCCATTTTGATGAGCCACACCATTGAATAATATATGCTAATTATGGCATCTAGGTTAAAAGTGCTTTTTTTTGTTTTAGAATTTATATCTTAACCTGCTTCCAAAAAGAATTTAAAGCTACAGGTAATGTTACCAAATCAAGAAACTCTTTTAATTCTCATATTCATGCCATCTTTTAAAAGCCCTCAAATACGACACAAGCTTTGTCTCACCCTTAACAGCAGAAAGAGCGAAGTTTCTTAAAGATGAAATGAAAAGTCTGGGCGCCGTGACTCATGCCTATAATCCCAGCACTTTGGGAGGCTGAGGTAGGCAAATTATCTGAGGCCAGGAGTTCGAGACCAACCTGGCCAACATGGTGAAACCCCATCTCTACTAAAAATACAAAAATTAGCTGAGTGTGGTGGTGGTTGCCTGTAATCCCAGCTACTCGGGAGGCTGAGGCAGGAGAATTACTTGAACCTGGGAGGCGGAGGTTGTCCAGCCTGGGCGAAGAATAAGACTCTCAGAAAAAAAAAATATATATATATGAAAAATGTATTTGTCCAATGTCACAGTCGTTCCATTGTCTTCCATATCTCATGTTTTGCCTCAGGTGACTTTACCAAAAATTCCCTTTTCCTTCTCTGCTTTAGGTAGTTTCATACTGTAGGTTCATTTATTCTTTGGCCCCTTTTAGATAGCTATTGCTTTGTGCTGTACATTTTGGTTAAAGGAGTTATATAGGTATATGGTAACAGCATAATGCCTCTGAATCACAGGACCTAGCTACTTCTTAGCTCCTGAAGTAATCTCATCCATGTAACTCACAGAAATAGAATCTGAAGATTGAGGAATAGATGCTTCTGTTATTCCAAATTATTTCAATTTATTCCTCTTAAACTTGCCATAACTATCCAAGTAGAGACACAGTATTAGCCTCTCTTAACTAGAGACCTCAGAAACTAGAAAATTGCTCATTTTAGGCCAGATGCAGTGGTTCACGCCTGTAATCCCAGCACTGTGGGAGGCCGAGGCAGGCAGATCACCTGAGGTCAAGAGTTTGAGACCAGTCTGGCCAACATGGTAAAACCCCGTCTTCACTAAAAATACAAAAATTAGCTGGGTATGGTGGCATGTGCTTGTAATCCTGCTACTCAGAGGCAGGAGAATCACTTGAACCTGGAGGCAGGGGTTGCATGAGCCAACCTGGACAAGAGAGCAAGACTCTGTCTCAAAAAAAAAAAAAAAAAAAGATAAAATAAAATTGCTAATTTTATTTTCCCCATACTGTTTATCTGCTTCTGCCTAAAAAGCAACTGTAGACATTGCAGTATGTTTGAGAGTCAGGTTGTTAAAGTGAGAATACATTGTTTCATATGAGACAGTAGGAGAAACTAGGGAAATCAGATGGAGTTACTGAGCTTGACTGGAGGTTAAGAATCCTAGAATCCAGTGTTTATCCCAGCACTGCTCCCTGTATGACCCCGGGCAAGTCACTGAACTATCCTGATCCTTTGTTTCCTCCTCTGTAAAATGACAATTAGACAAGATCATCTAAGGCCCTGTGAGATTTAAAATTCTTTTCTCAAAAACAAAACTTTAAAAGATCATAAACTTAGCATAGTAACTACAGTATTACAACTTCAAATCACATAGGCTTGAAGACAAACAGCTCTTAACTACCAAAAACTTTTCCAGGTTAAATTCTTCTGGCGGGAAATTTGAGAGTCATTTGAGGGACTAGTTTAAAATTTAGCTTATGGTTTTAAACTTCCAGTCTTAGCCTAGAAGTTCCTCAGTTAAGAGATAATCATTAGCAACAGTAATTGTCTCTGTGTCTGGTACTTGGTGTCTTAAAATGCAAATGCTTTCTCTTCTCAACCTTCTAGAAGTGAAGCTGGAAAAGGTTTCATGGTGTTGCTACTTAGAAAAGAGCTTTGAACTACAGGAATGCAATGTGGGACTAAAGATCCACATCCAGAAGTGGGATGAGTCATGCAATTCAGAGGACAATAGTGAAGGGGCAATGAGTAATTGACAGTGGGGCTGGTGACAACACAAAGCCTAGAATAGCTAAAATAATTTCTTAGCTAAGGGGCTGTACTTTGGACTTATAGCAAGACTAGCAACATTATCAAGGGCTTTTTCCAGTACAAAGTGTTTTATTTTTATAAAGGGTCAGTGTAATTTCTATATATGGCAGTCACAGAGTAAAGCCTCTTCTCAGCTTTAAAACATTCTTCTTGCCAGCCACAATTACAGGCCATTTTATAACCACTCCCTCCTCCAGCCTCAAAACTGTCCCTATTCCCTGCTTCATTTCCCCCTAGATTGACCAACTACATATAGTAGATCATCAAACCAAAGATTTGTCAGGGGGCAGAGGGCAGGGGGCAGGGGAAGTACATAGTGAATGAGGAAAGATTATTGTTAAGCTACTGCTCATGCTTCCATGAAGCAGTAAAGAATGATTTCACCATATGACAAACATACTTAAATTCAAATTCTGGCTTTGCCAGTGTCACTTGTGTGACCTTCAGAAAATAACAGCCTGTTTCTTAACATGTAAAAATGGGGACAGTGATTTCAATCTGGTAGCATTTTTGCAAGGGTGGATTTAGTGAGGTGATGTATATGGGATAGAATTTAATAGTGTCTGGTTTACAGTAAACACCCAAATATTTTTATTTTGTTTTTAACTTTTTTCTTTTCTTTTCTTTTCTTTTTTTTTTTGAGACAGCATCTTGCTTTGTCACCCAGGCTGGTGTGCAGTGGCATGATCTCGGCTCACTGCAGCCTCTGCCTTCTGGGTTCAAGTGATCCTCCGGCCTCAGCCTCCCGAGTAGCTGGGATTACAGGCATGCACCACCAAGCCCGGCTAATTTTGTATTTTTAGTAGAGATGGGGTTTCTCCATGTTGGTCAGGCA